CAGTGTATAAATACACTGAGTGGTTGAGATTTTGTTTCAATTTGCACACCCCTCTCAAACACATTATGTGTAGAATTGGCTAAACTGAACCCTTTTCGAGCTTGAGGAATGGGAATTAGATTTTGAACTTTTTTCTCCCAGTTAGAAATGATCCATCTGTTTGTTGTACTCCTATTTTGGTTTATTTAGAATTTCTGACATCCAATAACACCGGTGGGAGACTGACGTTTCTAAATGGATCACATTTATTTGAACACAACTTTTAAACAGTTGTCAGATTCATAATAACCAAGTAGAAGTAGCTTAAACACAGTCGATAATGTTGTGTTTGTGTCATAATGATGACCCTGATTATGGTGACGTCAGGGAAAGGGGCGGGGACAGGGAGCGGTAAAGGTGCGTGCTGTTGCTTGAACGCTCAGGCCACCTTCGCTGTGGATCAGAGAAAACATGGGGAAGCTGCAGGAGTTTGAGATCGCGTTTGACAAAAATAAAGTGGTCTACAGTCCGGGAGAATCTATCTGTGGAACCGTGACTATCAAAGTGGGCCAGCCGCTGCAGTGTAAAGGTAAGAGGCTCCAACAACAGCAGCTCACCTGTTGGGAAAAACGCCGCCGCCGCCAAACAAGGAAGTGAAGGATTCAACCAAAATAACATGAGGTCTAATTTAACAACGTTTATCTAGGGTGTCTTTACTTCAGAAACGAGATCCTGTTGGAAAATGTGTTGGTTGTAAAGAGTTTGTGGCCCTGTGTGTCTGGGGTTTTAATGGATTTACTGTGGTCAAATACTACCATGTTCCTGTAGAGTCAGTCAGCGACAAACTATTCATGGAAGACGAGGTTGTTGCTCAGTGGTGTGTTCATACTGGAAACAGCACCTCACAGCTTTTAGCTGCTAGCCACCACCATGCCACCCCAATTCTAAGGGGGAAAAAAAGAACAAATTAATAATAATGCAAATTCTTACAGTTAAAAAACTACAACCATTGTTTTTGGAATTTTTGTTTTCTGCTTCCTGCTTCTCTTTTGAGGCCATGGAACGCTTTCAAAGCCAAATTTTAATTGTAGTGTTGAAATTTAAATGCAACAAATGTATAACACTGAAATATTCCATTTTGAAAACCATCTATTTGACTTAATGTGGTTTAATATTCAAGTTCTAGCACGTGTTTTCAAAGAGCAAGTCTGATGAGATTCTGATTTTTGTTGTTGTTATTTACTTTTTGACATGTCCTTCTTTTACATACTGGAAGATGAGTGAACTAAGTAGTACTAGCCACCAGCAGTTCCACTTTGAAACTACGGTGTAGAGATGACAGTCTCAAAAACATGGAATCAGACTTCTTGGGTTTCATAACAAACCTAAAGAACCAATCCGGTCACCTTGCAGAGTGGGGCAGTGAGTCATTTTAAGGCAGGAAGGGATCATTTTCATGAAAATAATGTCTTACGTAATTTTGATACATATAGATGAGCTTTAATGAGTTTAATAAATGACCAGAGAGGGACTTTAAAGATCTGATTTAGTTTCAGAAATTCCGATGCTTATCTGATCTCCTCTTTCTGGGATCATGTGACTGACAGAATCAGAGGACAGAAGTTGGATTAGTTCTGTTGAGGCTTAATTACTATGTATCTTAATTATATCCATGAGAAAATATAGTCTATTTATCCAGAGCAGAAACTAAAACTAAGGTGGGGTCAAACTGCAAAACCGGAACTTGGAACTGGAAAAGTGAGTCCAACTTGTCCAACTTTTACTTCAGAGCAACATCTTGTCTAAATGTTCTTTTGAAATTCAAGATCTCAAAGGATTTACTGTGTTAACTGAAAGCGATGAGGGTCAAATGATAGGTAGCACAACTGAATACAAACAGTAAAGGAAATGCATACGGTACAAAATTTCCATGTTTTTATTTATTTATTTATTTATTTTATTTTGCATTATCATTATTCAATTCCAAACAAAAGTGTGACTGTTTTTTGTTTTTTTAAAATGTATTTATTTTTAAGCATGTTACTGTGCATGTGCTGAAGGCCTAATAACCATCTTGCATAACTCTGTCGCTTTGTATGTGCCGACTTGCTGAGAGCAGTCTCTGTGGTAGGGAGTGTCAGTTTCAGTGCTGGCAGGACCTCCAGTCTGTTTACATTGCTCTTCAGGTAGAACCAGTCAGACTGTCAGCATCTCGCTCATTCTCTCACTGGAACAGTTTGATTTACTTATAGAGCAGCTTGGGCCCTCGGAAAAGAGACGGATTACAAGGCAAATGTGGAGCATTGCATTTAAAATCATTGATCTTTGCTGTTGATGAGATGGATTCACTGAGGTTACTAACATGTGCAAAAGGAATACAAGTGGAAAAAATATCTTTTGTTTTACTTGTGTCTTTAAACTGAATATAGTTTAGGTATTATTAAATAATACATGCTATAAGGTTGAATGTATGGGGACATATGTTCCTTGCTCTACAAAACCAAAACACAGTGACTACAGATTTGGTAAAGGCCAAACTTTAACTGGTGGTTTAACATTTTTGTAGTGAGATCATTTTTATAATCTATGAAAAGGAAATGAGGAATTTTTAATGAACATGCTGTTTTTAAAATTAGCAGGCACAACAAAAACAGCTTAGCTTAGGCTTGTGTGAATACAGCTATAGCCATCCCGAGCTAAAGCTAATTTACTGACGAATTTTGAACTGTTTTCTGTAACTGGACAATGGGTTTTAATGGTCCAAAACCAGAGACATGGAAATTGTTGTATCACAAGCATGTGGCTGTAACTAAATCAGATCTTCATGTAGACAAGAAGACAGCCCTGCGAGCTGGCCATCTTACATGTATTTCAGACTTTTTAAACATAAGACACAGTATCTAGTGTTTGTCTAATGACAACTTTTGTTGTTTTGTTTGAGGATCATTTAGGATGATCATCCTAAATATTCATTAAATGTTGTTTTTAAGAATCTTGCACTTGAGCAAAGTAATTTTTAGATGTTCTGTGCTGCAGTCTGCCTTAGTATCCCAATGAGTTGGTCTAAGTTTTTTTTTAAAATTTCAGATGAAGGGAAATCTTAATGGTATGTCAATCAGCCGCAGTGTGCTTTCAACTTTGTGGCAGCCATTTGTGTTTGGTCTTTTTCCTTTTTTAACATCCCAATGGGCATAATTGGTACTGAAGTATCATTGGTTTTTTTTGTCAGTTACTAAAAATGAAAAATGGAATTACCCTATACACTGTAAAATGTGAAAAGTTGCTCTTACTTAAACAAATCTAGGAAAGCGGTTGCACTCAAAAAAGATAAGTACATATAACCATTAGTCTTAAATTCAGTTTACTTCATATCTACTTTTAAAGTTTACTTAAAATTTAGCTGTATTTGCTTAATTTTGTGAACTTAAAAATAACATAATAGTATAATGAATTTGATATTTCCAAGTGTTAGAAACCTAAATAATAATAATAATAGATCAGATTTCTATAGCACTTTTTGAGACACTCAAAGTCGTTTATACTGTCAGTTATTCATTCACACTCATTCATCCCGGTGGTGGTAGCTACGATTGTAGCCACAGCTGACAGAGGTGTGGTTGCCATTCTGCCCCTCCGACCACCACCTCAAACAATCCATTCATACGTATTCACACCAGGCAAGGTGGGTGAAGTGTCTTGCCCAAGGACAAAACGACCATGACACGGTTACAAGGTGGAATCGAACTGCCAACCTTCCGATTATGGACAAACTCACTCTACCACCTAAACCACAGCTGCCCCTTAAAGTTTCTGGAAACGTCTCCTGCACTTCTTTACTGTACATGTGCACTGCTGAGCTCTGTGTTCAGTCCAGGAACAGAACATTTCAAGTCGAGTTTACTCAAGTATACTTAGTTTTATAACTCTTTCAGGAAAAATGAGTACATACTCACAGTCTATGAGTAAATGAACAGGACAATGAGAAATAAGTAAAGTACACTAATGTTATTCAAGTAAGCATTGGTTCTACCTTTTAGAGTGTATCAAACATTTTTTTTTATTATTTTGTTACATTTTATTTAAATGTTAATGGACACTGGGAAAACAAAAATGGGCCTGCTGTCTCATTTTTTGATTCTGATTTTATGTCTCGTTTTTTCATTTTCAGTATTTGATGGGACACCAGATTATAATTTTGCAAATAGACCCAAATGGTTATCAGTTTGGTGTGAAAGAGTTTGAGTAGCCTGCACAGAGCCCTTTCCTTAACTTCATTTATGCCCCTTTTCCACCAAGGCAGATTGAGGGCTGGTTCAGAACCAGCGCCTAATCTCAACCTCTAATCTCAGCTGTTTGTGTCTTTTTCTCGAGAAAAACTGGTTTGAGAGTACCATCAACACTCTGCTAGATAATAATTTCACCAATCATGACATGCTGATTGGGTTAAAAAGACCATTATGTTGCATATAATAAGCTAGCCAAGCAAGACTAAACTCTAGTCAGTCTGATAACAGAAGAGTGAGAGCTGTTGTTGTTCTGCAGTCTGCATTCTTTTTACCTTGTGATGTTAATGTGTTTTTTAGCATAAAACAGTGACCGTTGGTTGTCTCACCAACAAAACAGTAGGGTAGCAAACCATCAGAGTCAAGCTAATGTGTATTCCTAGACTCTTACCCAAATCCTGAATTGTAAACATTCATTATTTTTATATTGGAAAAAGAATTGAATTGTATATGATTCTAAAAATCTCTTAAGTGTTGTCATCTCCTTACAGTAATCAAATTACTGCTGATATTATTGTGGGGAATAAACCTTGTGTAGGCTCTGGTATTTCATTAAAGTATTAAAGTACATTTACATTCTGAAGCTGACACTAAAGTAAGGCTCAAGATCTGAGATGCAGATGTAAGTTTAACAAGAATACACACATATATGTATCTGCTCTTTAGTTCCCAAAAAGTAATTTTTAAGAGCCAATATTTTTACCCAAACAGATCTGTCGTTAAAGCTATCATTTTTCCAGAATAATAGACATAGACATTGAACATCAGTGTCACATCACATCAACATCAATTCACAGCCCCAGAAGTCCCAAGGAAAAGCTCATGGAGATGACATTTAAAAACCAGCTGAAAAATGTGCTACTGAAAGCACCCAGACACCCTCAGTGACTATAGAATGATGGCTCAGACTCCACATGTCATGAAGTCACCAGAGAGGCTGTTTCTGAAGCACCTTCACTCAGTAGTCGAGCTGTCACTGGACCTCCCGAAGTTTGCGTACCAGCCTTACATTGGAATGGAAAATGCCCTCATCTTTCTGCTGCACCAAGATTATACTCACTTGTAAGACGCTGGCAGCACTTTGAGAGAACATGTTCTTTGACTTTTCCAGTGCTTAACACATACGACCTGCCCGGCTCAGAAAAAAACACCTCACATTCAATTTAATTCGGTTCAGTTAAATTTTACTTACCAATTCACAACATAGATAATCTCATAGCGCTTTACAAATTTTAAATAAAAAATAGAGAACCCAACAATTCAAGGTTGCCTTTGGATTTGCTATGAGCAAGCAGTTGGTGACGGTGGGAAGGAACTTTAAAAAAAAAAAAGAAGAAGAAAAAAAAACCTCAGACAGAACAGAACAGTGAACGTTTTGGGGGTCAGTGAGGCCAGCGATTGCAGATCAGAGGCGTGTAGCTCCAGATCCAGAGTCACCAGCAGAGAGAACAAACACAGAATCTCAGGGGAAACACGGAGTCAGTGCTATGTAATGGTGGTAAATAACTGTATGGAAGGAAGAGAGAGGAGAGGAGCTTGGTACATCATTGGAATCCCCCAGCAGTCTAAAGCTATTGCAGCATAATTAAGGGACAGCTCAGGTGATCCTGAGCAGCTCTAACTATAGGCTTTATCAAAGAGGAACATTTTAAGCCTAACCTTAAAAGTAGAGAGGGTGTCTGTCTAACAAACCCAAACTGGGAGCTGATTCCATAAGAGAGGAGCTGATAACTGAAGGCTCTGCCTCCCATTCTACTTCTGGAAACTCTGGGAACCTCAAGTATACTGCAGTCTGAGAGCAAAGGGCTCTGTTGGGGTGATATGATACAACATGATCTTTAAGATAGCATAGAGCTTGGTCATTGCGAGTTTCATAATACTCAGAATTTTAAATTCTATCCTAGGTTTTACAGATAGCCAATGGAGCAAAGCAAATATGGGAGAAATATGATCTCTTGCTGGTCCTTGTCAGAACTCTGACTGCAGTATTTTAGATCAGCGAGAGGTTATTAAGAGAACTATTGGGACAGTAATAAGGAATCACAGTAGTCCAGCCAAGAAGTTGCAAATGCATGGACTAGTTTTTCAGCATCATTCTCAGACAGGATGTTCCTGATTTTTACAATATTACGTAAATAAAAGAACGTTGTCCTACAGACTTGCTTTATGTGTGCGTTAGAGGACATATCCTGGTCAAATATAAATGAAGAGTTCATTTGCAAAAACAGATAGCTCCATTTTCACAAACCTTCAGAAAACCCACTTTTCCATCGTCTACCTGAGACAATATCAATCAAACTTAAGTTATCTCTATTTTTGTCATGTCATTTCTACTGATTCAAATCCACTAAACTTAAGTTTGAGTTATGTTATCTCAAGCAAACAACAAAAAATAGTTTTCTGAAAATCTAGAAAACATGGAGTTATCTGTTTTTGCAAATGAACTCTATATATGTGTGTGTATATATATATATATATGACTGGAGGCCAAGGCAATGAGATCAATTGTAACTATCTGGTTAGACAGAGTGTGTCTGAGGTGCTCGGGCCAAATATACTGACCTTGACCTTGTCTGAATTTAAATGAAGAAAATTACAGATCATCCAGGCGTTTATATCCTTCAGACATGCCTGTAGATTGACCAGCTGAGGTACAGGTGGATGCTGCACTAATGGCCTGAGTCACCAACTACCTGACAAATCACTACAGTTTGAGAGGATGCAGAGCACCATGTTGGACACAATAGCAGAGAGCAGCACAGATGCATTTTAGGGTATGATCCTGTGTAACTTCCTGTTCAGATAATAAAATATTGGACTTAGATCTGAACAACAATATCAACATCATTTGCAATGTTATTTTTCTCAATAGTTTGTGCAGCATTATTTTAACTATCTTGTGTAACATTTCATTTTCATGTGCAATTTTTGTTTTATTATGTAATATTTCATCATCATGCGTGACATTACATATTACCTCAGTGTCATTGCCAGCCTTTGTTTTTCTATTCTAGTCTTATTTCAGTTTACTTATTTTATTTCAGTAATATATCGTACTTATGTTTTATATATTGCTTTTCTACTGCTCACTGCATTTCTTTCCTTATCCCTCTTTTTTTCTTTGCAATATCAGGCAAAAGATTTCCTTTGGAATTAATAAAGTTTTGTATTATCTTTTCTGAAACTCGTTGATTTTAACCAGCTCAAAAGAGGAAAGAAAAGATGGAAAAAGGTGGTGTGTTGAACAATGACAATCCAGATTTCTTAAGTTAATGCCACTGATAAGGAAGTTGGGTATGGAAATGCATTGTAGTCACAAAAGGATATGAAAGCAACACAATCATTGTGATGATCTCAAACACTGCTGCTGAGTCATGCAGTACATCCTGATCACGTTATGCAATCAGGAAAAAAAACAATGGATTTTACGATAAGCTTTTCTTTGTGCTCTCAGTCTGACTTTTTAAAGTTAAGTGTAACCTTTTTTCATCAAGTTCTGCATTGTTGCACAGTTATTCCAAACAAAAATTAAATAATTGTTCCTGCCACGACTCTGTCTGCTAAATGTGGCTTCAGCTACTTCTGCACTACTCCCTGGTACAGCTGAACATGGATAGCCATGAATATTGAGGCAGTTCTTTCTTCAGTCATGTAACTGTAAGAGTACAAAGTTTCATTGAATCATTGGGTATCTTTTCTTTCTCTCTTTCTCTTGCTCATGAGAAGTGTTTTAGGCTGCAGCTTCTGATAAATGTTTCTGTTGCTATAATCTCCAGTGTGTGTCTTTTCTAATTTGCAGCCATCAAAGTGAACTGTAATGGTTTCTGTGGCATCACCAGTAAGGTAAACGACACAGCATGGACAGTGGAGGAGCAGTACTTCAACACCACCCTCTCTGTTGCAGACAAAGGTACACTGCTAAATATTTTATATGTTAACTACAAAGCTGAATTTCATTTGCATACATGTCCTGTGTCCGATTTAGGGCCTTGAATACTTCCCTGTGAGATGATTTGGTCGTGATACTTTAGACAAATCTTGTAACAGTGGAACAATATTTTACTTGTGTACACCATGAAGAATAAAACTAGTGTGGTGAAAGTGACTGAAGTGTAAAAACTGTAGAAGTGAAGGTTCCCATTTTCAACTGCAGCCCTGAGGCAGATCTACCTGTTGAGAAACAGCAGGGCGATTGTGACCGTTTTCACTAAAATATGGTATCTGTACTCTCTGTGTCTCACACAGGAACTCTGAAACAGGGAGAACACACTTTCCCCTTCAAGTTTCTCATACCAGGTAGGACATGAAGTGATGGTATGAGCACGTGTCTTCGCTATGTGTTTGTGTTTGTATTTCTCATCCTGATGGACATACTGACATGATAATATTTCCCCTAATACTGCTGTGGTTTAGCAGCAGTGAGAATGGGACTCATATCTTATTATTTACATGGACTCATAGCACTGACTTTCTTCCAGTTACAACAAGGAAGGCCATATGACAATTATAGACTGGTGCTTGAAAGTCCCAGTCAGTCAGTGTTACTCATTCATTCATTAAGGCATTTAAAAACACTCTGCTTTAAACAATAGATTGTGCTCCTATAGTTTTCCCGTAAAGAGGTACATTATTAGGGTCCGAGCACTAAAAGTGCAAGGACCCTATTGTAACTGTGAGGTTACAATAGGTTACAATTGTAACTGTGAGGTTACATTAGGGTCAGAGCGCGTTTCCGCCATGGCCAACACGCACGCCGCCGCTGCTCGCCACGAAACAGGAAGTGGCTCGTAACTAGGCCGCATGTGCTCCGATCTACCCCAAACTCGACATGCCAAATCAGAGTTCCGCCCAGAGGACGATTGCGCAACATCCCGACGTGCGCAAAGGTCAACAAATGCATGTCGAGGACCCATCCATTGCCGCTTGCGGCTTTATTTTTTTTGTCTCTCTTTGAAGCATTTTCAATATTTGAATCAGAAAATATCGATATCTCCTGTTTCTCCATAAAGTCCATTCTGATTGTACACTCATCAACTTCACTTCATATCACTTTGTTAGTGACACTTACCC